AGTTCACCAAAACATTCTGTTATCATTGTATGACCTCTTTTTTTCCCTATACAATGAAAGACAGTGGGGTCCAATGTTGTTATTGTTATATAAAACTAAAATGATTAAAAAAAATGTGTTAACTGAAATCAAGCTGAAATAAAATAAAATATAAATATTAGATGAAAAAATAAATGAAAGTGTTTCCTAGCACCACTGTAATAGCATCTTTCTTGCCAACAAAAGTGATTATCAAATGATTAATTTCCCTAGAGAGAAACATTTCAGTTTGGGTATGACATAAAATTACAAGGTTAAATGGCCACAAGTCAGTGACATTTTTGTTAACTCAGATCAAGCTGAAATAAAATAAAATATAAATATTAGATGAAAAATTAAATTAAAGAGTTTCCTTGGCAAGTAACTGAAATAAAATAAATTTAAGCTGAAGTTTTAAATTTACAAAATTTAAGATTAAAATAATTTAAAGCTAAAATAGAAACATTAAAAATACTAAGAAAATGACAAAAGCACATATCAAAATTGCTAAAACTAAAATTGTGATACTTCTTTTTTTTGACCTTGCTGACCCAGTGAGCATTTCGCTGTTCAGTGGTCATGATTTAATTTTGCAATTTCTGTATTGAACTAGTTTTAAATATTTCTCATGGGCATTTAATAACTTTTGACTTTTCAGTGTGAGTTAAATCTCTTTTTTGGCGCATTGTACCTGAGAAAGGAAACCTGCTTAATAATTAAGCACACCTAAGTATAAGGCACTTTTCACTTCCAGCCCTTGTTAACAATTATATATCACTGGCGCATTCATTTTGATTCTTTACACGTGTAATGATGTCCAGTGACTTGTTTGCATTATTTATGCATTATTTTATTTATTTGTAAGACTTTTTTATGACTAAATTTGGTAATGGGAGAGTAAAAATATTTTTAAAACGTACACCGTTCAAACTAGGCTGCTTATGTTGAAGTGTTTGGGATGTGACTTTTAATGATGAGACCTTTTTTGTAATCAGGCTCTCAAAAAGTATATAACAATTTGGATATAGATTTATCGGCCAACATATCGGTTATCGGCTTTCAAAAATAAAGAATAATCGGTTATCGGTATCGGCCAAAATTTTCATATCGGTGCATCCCTATTATAAATGGTTAAATGCAAAGTTAATAGTAGTTATTAAGATTGATGTGGTTTGGAATTGGTCAAATGTGCTTGGAAAAAAATATGACCAGAATATCAACTTGCATAATACTTAAGCATGCACTGTTTACATAATACTAAAGTAATATAAATAAATAATTTAAAAAAATGTATTAATAATATTAAAGTAATATTAAAATGGCACTGGTGGGGTCCAAAAACATTCTTCACAATATCTTCTTTTGTGTTCTGCAGAAGAAAGAAAGTCACACGGGTTTGGAATGACATTTCTTTTTTTAATGTAAAAATTCAGGAAAGATTGTAAGGGTTTTGGAATGAAACATATCATCAGCTCATTCAAAACAGTAGAAATCAATGAAAAGTAGAAAAACTAATGTACTTACTCAACCAGTTCAGACACACACATATACTCACACACTTGAGCTCTGTCATTGTTCCTTATTTGTTGGGCTTGCTGCTTATTCATTTAGAAAAGGTCATGTTATTCTGAGGGCTAACATTGGAGGAATATATCCCGCCATTATCATGTGACAAAGCAGCTCTGACATGGGCCAAGAATGGACTGCGGGATAAACCTGATTGTACAGAGAGTCTATTCTATTTAATATGTGATCATTAAGCATTTTTTCGCCTTTGCGCTCACTTCGAGCACATATTAATTGTGGGTCTCGGCACAGAAGATGCTTCATAAGCAGTTTGTTCTTTCCAAATTGGCAAGGACACATAATGCAGGTGCATGAGACTAGCGGTGGCAGCACAGGGAATAATCAAAGGCTCTGCCAGGAGCAGAAACAAGCATCCTGCCCCTGAATGATTACAGTGATTGTGCAAACCCAATGAGAAAGATCATGTGCTGTGATAGATCAGGGAGAGGCTCTCTCTATAGTTCACCTAAAGTTGAGCTCAAAGCCATCTGCTAAATAAAGAAAAAACACTGAGAGAATGTGAGAACAAGAGAGAAATGTTGAGAGAAGCTTGCCCTGACAGGGATTGATATGTAAGGCAGTCAGTGAGACACAGATTAAAGAAGGAAATATTTCATTATTTATTTAGCTTTTTTTTTTTGCTCTGTTGCAGAGGTCCAGGTGATAGACCTTTGAAGAACTGGGGCTTTGATGGTGATAAATTGACATGCCTCTCTCTCTCTCTCTCTCTCTCTCTCTCTCTCTCTCTCTCTTTACTTGGGTCGGCCGTGTTCTGGTTTTGGAGTGACATAAGAGATGTGGAGAAGAAAGGCTGCAGCCACATGGTTAGAGAGATAGTGTTTGTATGGAACAGGGTGATTGAGCCCAAAGAAAGACCTGTGTGTGTTTGTGCTTCTGCTCTTAGATCTAACTCCATCTGTAATCGTATTGGATGTTTTTGATGGTGTTAATGTATCCCACCAGTCAAAAGTCTGGAGTCACTTGACAGTTTATGTTTGTCATGATCCTACATTTTGCCCTCACGTCTTGAAATTAGTTTTGCAGAGAAACAAATTGTGCCTGTGTATGTATTTCTTCACTATAAAACCAAATACCGTTATTGCATCCATCCGTCCATTCTCCAAACCGCTTGTCCTATGTAGGATTGTGGGATCCCACCCGGACTCGAATCAGGGTTATTATATTGACTAAAACTAGTAAGTATGCAAGTAAGAAGTAAATAAATATATACTTGAAATAAAATAAATGTCAATTGAATTAAAATATTTTAAAATAACTTTTATTTTAGCTAGTTGCCAAGGAAACATTTTCATTTAGTTAAACTTGATGTACGAAAATCAAATAAACTAGAACCTCCTGAGACCCTGCAACCTCATATGAGGACATTATATTTTAGTGAATTTCTCTGAGACTATACATGCCACAGTTTTAAGTCTGGATGTCCTGTACAGAGCACATTCAGGGCTTTTTAGAGATACTAAATGTTTGGATGTTTCACCATGACCACTCCCTCTCCTTGGTCTTCAGTAATGTCTGATATTAATTTAGTGACACTCTTATGGAAATATGATAATATATTGTAATTGTCATTTAAATCTGACAAATTTTTAAACTGTGTGTCATAAATCAACATCTCAGGAAAATGTCATGGGGTTTCAAATCAAAATATGACTTACTGTTATGAAACAGGACGTTGATTTCATACATGTCCTCATATGAGGACACCAGGACTAAAAGAATGTTTATTACGCATTTTGGGAGGCACAACAAATGAATAGGGAGAGAAAATATATTTCAATATTCCTATGAAATATTATATATTATTATTAAAATCTTGTCAATTATTACTCCCATTATTACACTTCTTTCTTCATTACATGTTGCCCCAAAAACACATTAATATGCAAATTAGATTTAGTTTATAGATACATTATATATAATGAGAAAACCTGTTTATGGCCATTTTACACACATTTTGCATGAAGAAAAATGGTATATCAAATAATTCTGTTTTAACATAGTTGAGAACTATCTTTATACAAAGTTTGGTAAAAAAAAAAAATCCTGAAAACTAAAAATGTATTGGTGATTTAAAAAAAATCAATTGTTTTTGCCTGTGCATGTTCATTCATGTCTTTTTAGTTTTTTAAAGAAATTGAGTCCCGATGTCCTCTACCAAGGACGTGGCATAACTTATGAATGAAATATCATAAAACATTTTTTTATGCTCTAAACAATGTAATGACATGAAAAAATACTAATTTTTTCCTAAAATGTTTTGCCGGGTCTTAAGAGGTTAAAACTTTAACATAAACATGAAAATGGAAAATATAAAAATAATTCAGACTGTTAATTAAAACTATAATAGTATGTCAGTGATACTGAAATAAAAGCCAGGACCTTCTTGTTGTGAGGCAACAGTTTTATCCACTTTATTACCCCAATTTATTTTATTTTTTTTATTAATTGGGCCACATTGTGAAAGAAAAGTACCTAACAGTTGTCCATCATACATGGAAGCTCCTTCAATTTTGTTAAAATGTACAATATTATATAAAAGCTGCATATTCAGTGCTACAAATCGACAAATTCTGATGTTTGCATCCATCAGTCCTGACCAAAACATTCCCCTTCAGTTCATAACACCTCTGCTTCTATAATTGTTTTTGCTCCATAGAGTATTGATTGGCTGTGTACAAATGAAAGGTGATTGGGTCTAATAGGATTGTGGTGGCTCACTTGGACACTGTACAAGGTTAGTCTCTGAGCAGGTGCGTGATGGGAGACTTCATGCAGTGTCGACTTGAGCAATGCAACTTTCATTAGTGTGGGATTATCCTTATTAGCTGTTCCCATATTCCCACCGATAATTAAGTCTAATTATTTCTGGTGCTCCCCCAAAGCAACGAGATGGATTTTCCCGCGGCAGCAGCAGGAGTGTACACTCCCTAAAAACAACACAACACGTCAACACATCGATGAAGCACTGTATGTTCGCTAATTACCACCTCTCAATATCTAATGTGGGACACTTGGTGCAGCTGTGATGATGGATCACCATATCATGCTGCTGTATCCCTTTCCAAAGACTAATGCAATTAGAGTCCTGTCCACTTATTATTCATCTGAACTCTTCATCAAAGGCATCTTGTTATGAGGCCAGGCACTTGCACTTGCAGTCTTCTGTTTATTTTCTACTTGCCAAAAAGTGATTAATGGGTTAACCACTTAATGAAAGTGTTGGAATGCTAATTAGGCATGGCTAGGCAAGATAATACGATACAACATCATTCTGCTATCACAGACTAACCAGAGGCTGTTATTGTCATTGGCTCCTCGTGTTTTACTCTGACCTTATGTTACTGAATGTAAAACTGAAACAATTCTAATAATTTTTTCTCTCTCTGTCTTTACAGGTGGAAAGAGAAATAGCTATTCTGAAGCTTATAGAACACCCTCATGTTTTGAAGTTGCACGATGTCTATGAAAATAAGAAATATTTGTGAGTATACACCATTTTTGTTTATCCATGCATCATGCAATGTATAATCTGAGTGTGTATAAGTGGCTGGTAAACTCTGTGTCTGTACGGAAGAGCAGACACGCTGATATCCGTGGATATGTGCGTGCGCTCCAGTGGCTGGGCTTAATGTAGTTTTCAATAATTGATAAAGGAGCCACCATGGATGCAGCTGAGGAATTTGTTTTCTTAATATTCAGATGACACAGATGTATGGGCCGCATGCTCGTAAAATATTTGCCTATGAACATTTTTACGCACACAAATCAAGTACGAATCCATCCTTAAATTAAATAACGCTGACAGGTAATCGCATGAGAAAATCCTTTAATCGACTAATAAATCAGACGTCTGGTGTGTCAGTGAGTGTGTTTGTGTGTGTGTGTTCAAATGTGACTGCATGTGAATGGGAGTTTGTGTGTATCTCATGAATACATAAATGCGTGAGTATGACATAAATGTGTTTGCCCATCAGACAGGCCAATTGCAGGAAGACATTTCGCACACATTTACACATTCACTCAAATGCAGTGGGGTCCAACAGTCTGATACTACATTGAAAATGTAGGGTGTATTTGTTTATTTATTTACTTATTTCCCATTTATAACATTATGTGAAACAAATTTTTGGGGGAATTTTAAATATTATGATGTTTAATAGATTATTCAAATTGTTATATTGTTAGCATAAGTTGTAATTAAAGGGATAGTTCACCCAAAAATGAAAATTCTGTCATTAATTACTCACCGTCATGTCGTTCCAAACCTTCGGAACACAAATTAAGATATTTTTGATGAAATCCGAGAGCTTTCTGGCCCTCCATAGACAGCAACACAACTGACACATTCAGGGCTGAGAAAGGTAGTAAGGACATCGATAAAATAGTCCATGTGACATCAGTGGTTCAACCTTAATTTTATGAAGCTACGAGAATACTTTTTGTGCACAAAGAAAACAAAAATAATGATTTCATTCAACAATTTCTTCTCTTTCCTGTCAGTCTTCAATGCGCATTCACGAGACTAGCATGACGCATGCATGTGATGCTGTTGACGCTGGAGCCAGCGTTCTGACAGATGGTTTTGCTCACAAAAAGTATTCTTGTAGCTTCATAAAATTAAGGTTGAACCACTGATGTCACATGGACTATTTCAACAACAATGTCCTTACTACCTTTCTGGACCTTGACCATTTTTGGGTGAACTATCCCTTTAACAATTTTGTTTTAAGTAAAAAATAGAAAACAGAAGCATTTTCATTAGCAGTCTCAGACTACTGGAGTACATTTAAGAGTTTGGGTGCATTTTTATTTATTTTTTTAATTAAATTGGTCAAAAGTGACAATGACTTGTACATTGTTACAAAAATGTCTTCTACAAAGAAGTATTTATATTATTTCCATGAAAAATCATTTCTTGAGCAGCAAATCAGCATATTAGAATGATTTCTGAAGGATCATGTGACACTGAAGGCTGGAGTAATTTGTCATCACAGGAATAAATTGCATTTTAAAAATATTAAAATGTAAAGTGGTTATTTTAAATTGTCATAATATTTCACAATATCACTATTTTCATTATATTTTTGATCAGATAAATGCAGCCTTGGTGAGCATAAGAGACTTCTTTCAAAAATGATGGGCATGATAATAGACCTGTCCTGGGAGTTTCAAAGCTGCAGTGTGTCAGGGTTTCTTACTTCCACTGGTTTTCTTCCACAGATATTTGGTTCTAGAGCATGTGTCAGGTGGAGAGCTCTTTGACTACCTGGTAAAGAAGGGCAGGTTAACACCCAAAGAGGCCAGGAAGTTCTTCAGACAGATCATCTCAGCGCTGGACTTCTGTCACAGTCACTCTATATGGTAAGAGTTCTGGACTGTGTTAAAATCTGTTTTATAGGAAATCAAAATCCTTAATTTTGAGCATTCAAAGCTTGGCACACTCCTTAGTTTAGTTCAAGAAAGTCAAATGTGTTGGTTTTGTTGCCGCTAAAAATGTTGTCTATTTTCATACATCATGTACTGTATGAATGAATGAATGATGCATTTATATAGCGCTTTATTGCGTATTGTTGTACACGCTTTACAATCATATGGGGGGGTCTCTCCTCAACCACCACCAGTGTGCAGCATCCACTTGGATGATATGTATATACGACTTGGATGTATAGCCATCAGCTGTTATTGTCCGGCATGTTGTACTTGCTGTTGTCTCATTTATTATTTATGGTGAAAGCCATCTCAAGTGAGGCATTGTTCAGTCATTACTACGCATTGTTTTGAATACGTAATAACATTATATTGAGATATTGCTATTTTGCACATTTGCGCAAGTTTCAAGCCACACACTCACACACACTTTCTGGGTCAGAGATTGATAGCTCCCCTCCAGTGCAACTGCAGAAAAGTACCGTTTTATCACAGAGTGTATCCTCAAGCATTATCTCTCCACATTTTTTAGATATAAATGAAAAATGTGCTCAAATTTTCTCTATATCCTTTCTCTCATTCTTTTCTGACTTCAGCCGAGAGGGTTTCAGTTAACTGTACAACAGAAAATAATGAAGGTTTTTGCCTTCATATACAGCTCCCTAAATTTTTAACCAATTTTAAGTTGAAATGCTGAGAAACAAATCCTTTATTTTCACTGCAGCGTAGTTTCTCTTTATCGAAACAATTATACAAATGATGCAGTAATTATGAAGCGTAGTGTGGTAATGAGATGTCCTACCACAAAAACACAAATAATGGGGGCATTTTATAGAGGTATTTAAAGAATTCAGTTCTGTTTTGTTAATGAAAAAGTAGAGCATTCATGTTTAAACTTCTCTTGCTGATGGATCAAGGCAGAATAAGACTTATTTCATTTATTTCATTAAAAGAAGAGGCAGCCAAAAGTTGCACCAGGTTTTTAAATCATTGATGTTTGGATTACCATTTTTATGTACTTTTAGATCCTTTGAAATTACATATATTATTTGAAACAACATATATGAGTTGTATTTTTAAAGTTTTAAAGTGTTTATTTTGCTTAACTGTTCTAATTTTTAACTGGACATGATTTGGCAATAACAAGTTTGATACAGAAAATTCTTTAAAAATCTGAAATAATGCATACTTAATGTGGTCAATTTTTGGAACTTTGTATTGTTTTCATGTAGATTATTATATAGAAATCCTTAATGAGTTTCCCTATCAAGATTTTGTTTGTGACTTTAGGATACAACTTACATTGTGTTGGAAAAAATTGTGGATTCTCAAATTTTACTTACAAATTATATAAATTTAAATGATCCCTTTTCAACAAGTTTGAACCTGTCTGACTAACATAGTATTACTCTACAGAACTTCATAAATTATACATCAGAACAGTGACAAACTAGACAGTTAGACGGCAGCCTGTGTTTTCCACTGTAGTCCTAAATGTACTTTCATGTAAAAGTATATCAACTTTTCACAACTTTAAGAGCTATTGCTAATGCTGATAATGTTTCTATTTTAATTCTCACAACCATATCCTCTTCATATGCTAATATACTAATGCACTGAAGGGGTAGCCATTAGCACAATATTTGCATCTGTTTACCATGCATTTCAGCAGGCGCACAGCCTAATGAAGAATGCTGCATGCTTCCAGCACAGCTCAACTAGCTGATGGATGGTTTCAAGGCCTTTCTCGATAGGTGATGGAAAGCACTGAAGAAACAGCATAGCAGGGAGGCATCACTTGTTCTCTCCTCTGCTTGTTCGCCGCCATTTTCCTCTCTGGGGTTTGAAACCTCCACACAGATAATATGCTCAGTTGATAGCCTTCTGCTATCACTGTATTCACAGGGATAAAATTACGGCTTTCTGGCCCCACTGTGAGGACAGACAGAAAGACTAAAGTTTGAATTAAGCCTGTCAAATTCTTCAGTCTTTTACATGATAAGTGCTGTCAGGTACACAAGGTCGTTACACAGGAAGAAGAAAAAAAGCTGAACCGAGTCAACTCATGTCTAAATAACTGGGCCTGAACCTCACATGGGGATTCTATGTTTATGTAAGCTACTGATGCTACTGACGACATGCATTAGCAGTGTGAGTGCCGTTTTGCCCTATTGAATGTTGAATGTGTGAGAGCTGATTTGATGATTGGGTGCATTTATGTACCTTTGCTGCTCCATTCTAAAATAAAGACAGACATAGAGGTCAGCAATGCAGTCTGGATTTCACATTGGGGTTGAATATAATGAGTAGCCTATGCAGGTTGTGATGAACTTCAGTTCTAAGATTAACAGCTTTTTTATGACACTAGTTATTGGTTGGCATATTTCAATGCTTTAAAGTATGAGCTGTGCATACAGAGATAAATGTGCAATTCTGGGGACATCAAAATTAGGAGGACACATAGAGAAAAAGGCACATAGAGATATTGGTGGCCATTAAAACCTCAACAAATTGACCTCAGTCAGGGTAGACACCATATTTAATTTGACGTGAATGAGAACAAGGCTGTGATCTGTGTTTCTGCCACAAGGTTCTTGTTTCTGAACTTTTTTTTTGGAAAGTCTTAGGCTATTTTATTAGGCAGTGTTTTGTCGGCACCAGGTGTACTGTCAGTGTATTTGATTTAATTTATTCTTGTCTATTAAGGACTTTTTCAGTTGTGTTATCTACTGTCGTTTAAAAACACAAGTGTTTACAGGATCTGTAATATCTCTACTTCTAAAGGAACCATTTATAGGAACATTAGGCTATAACAGCAATGTCACAGCGGGACACTAGTGCTCTCCTCAAGGGGGGATTGTGTTTATTGGTTCCATGAACTTGTGCTTTGTCAGGGAAGATAATGGCCATCCATTTCACACAGCTCCATACTTACAGTACATAAAGCATAATGATGGAAGACTAGAGAAAAAGCAAGCTAATGTGAGCAGAATGGAAGGCCTGCTGGACACCTCAGTTTCCACAAACCACTGAGCTGTTAAATGCCATGCACACTTTACTAAGGGGGGAAGAGGCCAGTGTTTGGGGGTTGGGAAAAGTTGTGGAAAACTTAACAAATAATTTTATAAAATCAAATCAATGCATATTCCTTATGTTTTTTGCTATATTGATCTCTCAAACCATAAGGTTGGGACAGAGTTGGTGGCTGGTTTGTAAATAGTTTGCCATGTAGAACAAAGGGTCTCCTTTCTGAAGCTGTTCTCTTTCATTTTGATGCCTTTTCATCCAGAGCATTCATAATTAGACATCACATAATGAGACTTCCTTGCACTTCAGCCCCTGTGTTTTCCACTGTAGTCCTAAATGTACTTTCATGTAAAAGTATATCAACTTTTCACAACTTTAAGAGCTATTGCTAATGCTGATAATGTTTCTATTTTAATTCTCACAACCATATCCTCTTCATATGCTAATATACTAATGCACTGAAGGGGTAGCCATTAGCACAATATTTGCATCTGTTTACCATGCAAGAGTTGGTGGCTGGTTTGTAAATAGTTTGCCATGTAGAACAAAGGGTCTCCTTTCTGAAGCTGTTCTCTTTCATTTTGATGCCTTTTCATCCAGAGCATTCATAATTAGACATCACATAATGAGACTTCCTTGCACTTCAGCCATTATAATGAGAGACGGAGCAGCAAAATGGCTTTAGAGTTGGGGGTTATGTTTTTATAGCATATTTGCAGGCTTGAATTGTACAGCACCTGGTTACTTTGTTTAAAACAAACAGTTTATTTTAAAAGGATGTTTATGATTGTGTCTGGCAATACTTGCAGTTCATGATACCCAGAGATCATTCAGTCGGTCCTGCTTTACCCATTCAGTCTCTCACTGGCAGCTAATCAGAAAAGCCTCTCAGTAAACACACACCAGTATTGACCGGGACCCCCATGCTATCTTTCCATTACCGAGAGCTCCTCCTTCTCCTTGGTTGCCTTGGCATGGGAAAGATGAATCAATCGTTGTAGTAAAGAACTTTATTGCTGGTCTGTGTTTAACCTTTGCAATAACCAGGTCTTTTATAGCTGGTGCTACCAGCAGTCACATTTTTTGCATCATCTCCAACATACAGAGCCTTTTATAGATGGAAATGTGTGGTGTGTAAAAGCTACACTTACTACTAATAATCAGTTGATTGTGACAACATAGTGGTGCTTGAGAGTTGACTACCATGCATTGATAAAATTGACAAGTCCCTCTCTGACTGTCTTCCTATCTCTTGATCAAGTAATTAGGTGCCTGGCAGATGTTTTCATTTCTGATGTTGTTTACTATGGTTGCAGATGGTTGATGAGTTCTTAGAACGGTTAGGGTTACTTCGGTGCAGTTGTAGTTATTGCGGCAAAAGGAGGAGGACAGTATTTCTGGTTCAAGTCACGTTTCTATCCCACCAATAATTATTGGCCAGTTGTTGTTGCCAAACCATCCCAAGTGATAAGCTTCAGTAAATGCTCATTGGCTCACAGGTCACGATCAACTGTCTTTTGAAAGATACTTGAAATGTACAAGCTGTTTTCTGATCTCTTGGGCCTAAAATGGTCTTGTGTTCCTCAATCACTTACCCGCTCAGGATGAAAGAGGCTTCGCTTCTTGACACTGGCAAAGAAAGCTCTGAATTTTTATCTCCAGATCAGAGGATTTCACAGTGGTACAAGGAATCAAGATGTTTCCCATGATGTCTGATCAAGAGATTTGGGACTGAGTCTGATACTGGCAGCTTAAACAAGTAATACAAATTTAGTTAAGCTGGATCATTTAATAAAAATAAACACAACATCTTTGTAGATCCATGTGCCCATTGGAGGTTTATGAGTGAGCTACAAGTTCAGTTTTTCAAATATCTTTTTTTTCAAATGTTAATAAGCAGTGGAGCACTTTTGTTAAAAATATTTATTTTCTTAGAAATAACGAAGAAACCTTATGGATAAGTCATTTTCTTAATTTTTCTTAATCATTTTCTTCATTCTTCATGTCATTGACACTTACTCAATAAAATATTAGAGAAACCTAGAGACACTTAAGAAAGCTGCTAATGTATAGATGTTTATACCTTAAACATTTAGTTTCTCATGTTTTGTAGCCACAGAGACCTGAAGCCAGAGAACCTGCTGCTGGATGAGAAGAATAACATCAGGATAGCAGATTTTGGCATGGCCTCTCTACAGGTTGGAGACAGTCTCTTAGAAACCAGCTGCGGGTGAGTCATGCTCCCTTCTTCCTGCAACAATTACCAGTATACGTGAAACCTGTTTTTCATAAAACAAGGGAAAACTTTCATAATCGGGTACAATTTTGTAAAAATAGTGCATGCTCATGCAACTGTTTAATTTTGTTCAGATGAAAATACCAATCAAAGCATATGTTTTGATTTGCATAGACAGTCCCTTCACATTAAATGGCTTTTGAGAAGAATATCATCATCTTGAGATGATATTGAGAGATGTGAGTGTTGAAAACTAGTGAAATCACTCACATTAATAGTAGAGCCCGACCGATATATCGTTTTGCAGATATTATCGGCCGATATGAACCTATCGGTATCGGCGAATATGCCGCCGATATGAATTTTTTTTTTACAGAACATATAATGCAGATTAAATGCTTCTGAATGGTGTAATTACTTAGTTTGTCCAGCAGAGCACACTCCATTGTTTGCTACTGGCGACCCAGGTCAGTGTAGTGTAGAGATGCACGAATGAGCTCAAACTTCACCTGAGTCTGTTGCTTCAAATTATCTGCCCGCCACCCACCCGCACCTATATTTGATTGTCACATTACAATGATTCTAATTCTTAGTTTTGCATGATGATATGATGAATGGATGGTTCATTTTTAAAAGCAGATTCAGTGACATTAGCGACTAGAGCTGATCTGCTCATCACAGCACGCGTCTGCGTTGTATTAAAGCCTGTGTTACGGCCACCAGAGCTGATCGCGCCCACTCAGTCAATGCTGGTGTTTATACCAGCCGCTGCGCGGCCCAGAACTCATGCTTATATCGGTCACATCACATCGCGTGGAGTGACAAAATACAATAGAATTCTATTGTATTTTGTCGCGCCGTGTTGCTCGCGTCCGGTGTAGAATAGAACCCATTATAATCAGTGATGTTGTCTACAATGGATGCAGTAAACTGATGCCTTGTTCTATTTATGACGTGCTGACACAAAGTTCAAATGATTTTCAACAGTCGCTTTGTCACGTCCTGTTGCGGCGCATGTTGTCAGCATAGTTTGTCAGTACAGTCAGTAACGTAGCAAATTGAAAAGTTAGTATCTTTCTTCAGTCCAATAATAGATGGCAGTGCGGTGGTTTCTTGAGTCTGTTGAATGGTGATTTAACGCTATGTTGTCACCTAGTTGGAGAGACTCAATGCTAAGTAAATAAAAAACAATGTCCCCGTAAAGTTATTTATAATATGTGAAGTGAAGTTTACTGTTAAGTGCACTAATGTCAGACTCATTTTGAATAATAAAGTTTATTGTTAAATTGTTAAATACCCTGCCTCCACTACATAGGCCTATGTTTGTCACATCATTATAAGTGTTTGATCACCACCGAGTTATCATTGCAAAAAATTTGTTTATGTATATATTTTCTGTTTATGTAGGCTATATACTGTATTCTATATACTGTACTATAATATAGCCTACACATAAAGAATATCGGCCGATATATCGATATCGGTCTTTTTACTCCCTAATATCGGGATCGGCATCGGCCCCCAAAAAACCCATATCGGTCGGGCCATTTGCATGCTTCATTATGAAAATAACTGTAGAAATGGCTCCATATTAATAACTGATAGCTATATCTGAATGATTAAGTCTTGCATTAAGACACTTGGCTGGACCTGCTGCCACCGAAGCACTTCCTGAACTGTTACTATTAGTAGAAACAACCCAGGCTCATTAGAAATACGTGCCTCTAAATACATTTCTGCTGCACCGTCATTGCATACCTCACAGCACATTTCACAATTTGTTACGTTAGGAACATATTGCTGTGTTTGTATTACGTTGCTTCAGGTACGTATTGCGGTGGTTCATAATTGAAATATTCGAGGAGTGTCGCTAAAAGTTAATGCTCTATCATGTTGGAAATATCCCCTACACCAAACCCAACCCTAAATCTACCCGATAGTGTTAACAAATGCAAAAGTGATATAAAAATGCATTTGTTGATGAAGCCATGCTATTTTAACTTCCTTTTGCGGATTTGAGCTGTTTTGTCGAACCGTAGTTTCACAGGGTTTTGAACCAGAGCTCTGTAGCATTTGGACCAATCAGACACACAACTTTTTGTTATATTTAACAAATAATATCTAACGCCCCCTCACATAACCAAAGGGCCAATTACGAGGGTCTATGGACCCTTCCCCCGAAATGCACCTAACACCTCAGAAAGGCAGAACAGGCCTCTGGTTCCATGGTAACCAATGCTGATATCACTGGTTTTATTGCCTAAAGGAATGCGGGCAGATAAACTCCCTCATTTTCCTCATAAGAAAGACACATAATGCCCAGAGAAATGGACTGTTCTCTAATTAATTCATAGGAAAACCTTTCTTTGATTGAATACACATATCCTTCAGGTCATTGTGTATACCATTACTGTTCTTGTATATTGTCTGTTGTAGTGTATGCTGTTTTATGCATGTTATCATAGACCACTAGTTAATATAACCTCACCTATATCATGTTTGGTCTCTATGAATTCATCTTCGGATGATCTAACTGAGAGTGCATATTACATGCTGATACCTATGCAACATATTGATGTTCTAAGAATCGGTACTAATTTGTGCCTCAACACTCCAGCGAATTACATATGCAAAATACCATGCTTACAGACAAAGAGTCATAAAACTCCCCAGTATTTCCAACCTCCCGCTTGGGATTTCAGCCTTCCTCATTGGACAAACCCATCTTGAGAGGCGTGAATCTCTCCAGGCTTTAAAGGCCACACTCCATGTGACCCGCCCCAGTCGGTGGTTCAGTGAGATGCTAAGATGAAGATGTGAGAAAACGCTTCAGGATACCAAAGCATGGTGCCAGGCCTTTCTTCGGCCTTGTCCTTTCCATTCTTCAAGTTACTCTGACGCAAACTGGTTCTTTCTCACCAACCAACTTCAGCAAGATCTTGGGGCCTTAAGATTGCATCAGGAATCTTTTTCAGACAGACTCGCAAGTATCAAACTTAGTCGATTTAATTGATGCATTAAGTATCAGTTACACCTTTTTACAAAGGTGTGTTTGAACTAAGAATCTGACGTATCCCTGAAGGCTTGGATCTGTTGAATATACATGCAAAGTGTTCCATAAAATCCATTCTTTATGCCTCTTTCTATGCAGAGTTAAACTTTAACCCTTTCCTATACCAACTGTATGTGTGCGTGTGTGTGTGTATGTGTATGTTAGACCAGTTTATGTGT